CAGCTCTGTGGCCAGCCCACCTCTTCTCCCTTATCACAGCCATAGCACAGTTCCATCCCACCACTCTGGGCACTCAGGCATCATTAGCCTGGAGGCTTCACGGGTAGCTTTGGCCTAACCAGTGACCAGCCTTGGCCCAGCCTGGCCCCACTTTGTGGCCAGGATCACAGGCAGGGCGAGTCTGACATTCCACCCCACCCCAGACTCCCTCCTGTCCTTTGGCTTCCCCCAGGAATTGCTCTCAAACAAATGAAATGTGGGTAATTACTGGGCCGGGGGCTGGACAGGCGGCCCTGCAGATGAAAGCATTTCCTGGACGGACTCTTCATTTGCATGGCATCAGAAGCTGCTCAGAAGGTGTGACTTTTCCCACAGTGAGACCCCAGCTCCTTGCACAATAAAGCCAGGCTGCTCACCCAGAATTAATTAAAGGGGGAGGGGAGGAGATGGAGCAGAGTTGGAGGCACGAAGAGCTGGGGAGCTGGAAGAGAGATGTCTACGGCCCCCCTCCCCAAGTGCCAGTGTCTATAAACCAAACCTATTGTATCCAGAGCCCCTCACCCTCATAGCAGGCTAAAAGAAGTGATGTGGACAAACCCCAGGGTATCCCCAATCTCACTACTCCCAGGCTTTCCACTGAACCCTGGAATTCCTGATCCACCTGGAGGGCCTGAGCCTGGGACTTGCGGCTGCAACTCTGGGAGACCTATGTGTTTAGAAAACCTTGGGGTGCTCCCCTTCCAAAGGAGGTGCCAAAGAACAGAAGCACAGAGGGAAGAAGTTTCTGGATTGTCCTAGGAACTGGGCACCCTCAAAGAAGGTAGCAGAAGCAGCTAGCATGGGAGGGCCTCAGTTATAAAGACTGGGCCAGCTCTGCCCTCAGGAGACCTGTTACTTCTGGGTTTGGGCTCTTCATCATACCATACCATGGCGTGGTATGAGACCAGTGTCACCAATCCACATCCAAACACCCACCCCTCCACCGCCATGGGCCGTCCCCTGGCCCACACCAGGACCTGCTCTACTAGCCCAACCTCTGCTTCCCTTCCCATCCCATGCCCAGTTCCCTTCCCTTCAAGCCCCATCTCTCCAAGGGTGGCAGCCTCTCCCTAAACCATCGTCCCTGGACTCTTGCAGCACCTGAGCTCAGCACCTTCTGCTCACAGCTCTCTAACCAGATCTCCGAAAGCTAACACTTGTTCTGTGTCACAATTGTCAACACCAGCCTTGGAGGTCTCCCCTCTGACATCCCCCCACCTTGGACCCCGGCAGCTGCTCTTTTCTTTCATTTTCTGGAGTCTGATACTCAGAAAGAATGAGCTTCGGCACCTCCTGTCTCTCACAGACCTAGGCACACACAGAGGCACTTCTTCTAGACTCATTGAGTCCATGATCGCAGCTCTGGTCCTAGGAGAGTCATCATTTCTGGCCCAGAGGTGGCCTGGGGAAGTGTTAGCAATAAATCCTGTTAAAAGCTAGGAAGTCCATGTCTCCCAGGACCAGCTAAGAGCCTCTTCATGCTCCTTTCCCTGCTCCTGTCCTCCCAGGAAAACCCTCCAGTGACAATGATGGAGACAGCAGACAGACATGGGGCCTGAGGCTAAACGGAGGCTACACTCAGAGATGGGGCCTGATTTGCTGCGTCTCCCAGCCCCCTCCCCCTCCGCCAGCTGGGGCCGAGCAGGGGGAGGGAGATGGACCCCAGCAGGACTCACCCACCAACACACATTTTAATATGCAAATTAAATAAATATTTTAGTCATTTAATAGCACTAATACACAACCTCCCCCAACTGACACCCACCCTTAAAACACCTGGCCTAAGTGCCTACCCTTTCCTCCCTGCCCCCACCTGGGGGTGCAGTGGAGTTCCTGGCTGCCTGGCCAGCTTGCTCTGCAGGCATTGGGGGCTCAGGAGCAACTCTGCTGGATTAGAAAAGTCCCCCCCACCCCACCTCCCGACTCCTGGGCCACTAACCGGCCTTCCTAAGAGTTAAGAAGACACCACAGCCAAGTGGAATACAAAAATAGAGCCTCTCTTTTGTTTAAAAAAAAAAAAAACCAACAGCAAACAATTATCAACAACTAGAACCCGGGGCTCCCCAGCTGCTCCCCAGCCTTCAGTGGCGCAGACCTCATCTTGCTTGAGTTTCTCTGTCTGTGCTCCCCCGAGAAATCTCTGTGCTGGGAGCCGCAGGAGGGGCCGGGCAGGCACCTATCTATCGGGGCTCGGGGGCCCAAGTCCTCTGGCTGCCCCGCAGGCTGCGCGTGAAGGGCGGGTAGTTGAGGAACTCGAAGCGCAGGCTCTGCTCGGTGGTGTGGTGACCGCGGGGCAGCCGCTTCATGAAGTGGACCTCGCGCTGGTGCTGCCGCGTCTTGGAGCCCTTGCGGGGCCGGCCCTTGCGGGTGAAGGCCATGTACCAGCCCTCGTACTTGGCGTTCTGCAGGGCCGTGTAGTTGTTCTCCAGCACGATCTCCGTGAAGACACAATCCTTGCCTTTGCCGTTGCTCTGCAGGTAGGAGTGCCAGGCACAGCGTTACTGGGCTCTCTCCGGAGCCCCCCCATCCGAGGCAGAGGGCAGGCGGCCCCAGACAGCAGGTGGGCACCCCAGCAGATGGCAGGGTGGGCAGGAGCTGCAGCCCCACCCCCTGCCTGGGCACCCGCTCTCTAATCCCTCACAACCCGCAGCCCACCCGGCAACTTCCTGTCCTCCTGGGCAGCAGTGACACATGGCTATCTACCGAAAGGGCTGGGCCCCAACACAGAGAGGCAGAGAGGGGGCCCAGACCCTGCCTGCCCTGGCCTCCTGCCCACCAGTCTGGCCTGAGCAGCTAGCACCCGTTTCCCCAGCTGCCCCCCTCAGTCCCTGAGGATTCCAGCTCCAGGGCCCCTGGGCAGCCACCCTATGGGGGAGGGGAGGCCTGCGAGGAGGCGCTGAGCCTCAAGCCCCAGAAGCCCAGCAAGCGGGAGCTCGAGGCTGGAGAGGAGCCGTGACTAATGGGGCCATTTCAGAGCTCGGCCGAGGGGCTGGGCCTGCGGCTTACTGAACATTCCAAATGCTGGTACCATGTAATTGGACATAATAGCAAAGCAATTTGGCGATTTGTTAAAAAGATATATGGAATTTACCAACCTCCCCCAAGCCCCTTCCCTAGCCTTCCTTCCTCCCTCTTTGCCTTTATAGCTTTTCATCTCTCAAGCAGTTCCCTTCTCCCTCCCCTCTCCCTCCCAAGCGTTAGGTAACCCCAAGGTGGCCCTGTGGCCCTCTGCCCACCTTGTTGAAATCCTAGAGGAGCTCTGCCAGCCCAGCCACTACCCAGGCCCCCGGGCCCCTCCTCCTGGCCCCCTTCCTCCTGGGGCTTCACCTTGGCAATCAGCTTCCCCTTCTTGTTCATGCAGATGTAGAGACCCGTCTCAGCTCCTCGAACCCGAACCCGGCTCCCAAAGGTATCTGTTTCCACAATGAGCTTTGCTGTCGGGACAGAGGAAGGAGGTGATTGGAAGCTCCCCGACCCCCCACTGACCTATGTCCTCACCCCAGCTGGCCCACAGACGTGCCACGTCCTAGCAGCACCTGCTCGGAGGCCCAGGCACCCAAGAGGTGGGCTTCAGCCCCCTAGGTGAGATCAGGTCCCCTTGCCGGGTCTCAGGCCCCTCACCTCGGTGTACAGAGGCGGATGGACGAGATCATGGTGTCCCAGCTGGGCTCTGCAGAGTGGTTTTGGGGCCATCAAATTAAAAAGAGCCTCTTAAAACCAGACAGTAAATGACTTTTATGTCAAGGCTTCATGACTAGAGTTCTCCTCCTACTCAAAAGATCCAGGAGAATCTTTCCAACTCAAAATATTACGTGCACATGCCTACAGATAATTATATACATCTGGGTGCAGCGGTGACCTCCAGTCCTGAGGCTAAATGTCAAAGCATTCCCTCCTGCTTCTGGCACCTGGGGCTCTAACTCACATCCCTGGCCACCCACCCGACGCCCTTCCCCACTGCTGCCCTGCTGAGGAGGGGATAGGGAGGGCGCAGCTCTCCCTAACACAGCCCAGCCGGAACTCAGACACCAGCTTGGAGGGTCCTGCCTCTTCCCCGGGCTTCCCAGGCACGTAAGTCCCCAACCCGTGTCCAGAAAGCAACAACTCATCGGTTTTTCCTCTTTCAACCTCCAGCACAGCTCGGCTTCTCACCCCAGTGACCCGCCCTCCCTGTGGGTGTGGAGGGAGAAGACCAGGCACACTTTTCTCCCAGTATGGAGAGGAAACATGGAGCTGAATTCTATGCCTTCTCTCCCCTCCTCCTTGACTTCAGACAGCCAACTTGCCACAGAACCAATTCCTCCCCACTCACTAGGTAACTCCTCCCTCTGAGGCTGTCCCCAAGGAGGGGGTGAGGGCTGAGTTAGCCCTTTGGGACAGAGGGGATGGGTGTCCTGCCCTCCCTACCGCAGAGCTCGGCCTCTTCCCTCCTTGAGAAAGCGGCTCTGGGACTCCCAGAGCTGCCTCCCAGCCCACACTGACAAGGTGGCACCTCCTCTGCCTCTGAGACTCCTGGGAAGATGGGCATCCAGGTCAGCAAGACAGCCCTCAGCGTCCAGCCTGCGACTACCCACCCCCTTCACATAGGCACAGGGCTGGGACCCAGCAGCCAAGACCCCAGTCTGGCTCCAAGTCAGCCAGGGGAAATGCAGCTGTCACCTCTCCTCCCACCCACCTCCTTCTGGATCCAGCCAGTCTGCTCATCCCTTTCCTGGTCCGTCTTCCTGAGCAAGGAGAGGGTGCGTTTAAGGGCCAGGAAGGACACTGACAGGCGAAGGGCAAGAGAGGACCCCACTCAGAGGACTCTGGCCAAACGGGGCAGATCGGGATGGAGTAGGCCCCTCGTCACTTCCTGGGGCCATCAGGAAGCAGCTAGGACCTCTCTGCTGCTCTTTTCCAGACACTTCCTGTCCTGGCTGCACACCCTGGGTCCCTGCTTTGGAGCCCCTCTGCTTCTACTCCTGCTGGGCGAGCAGGGCCCAAGGAGCCTCAGGAGAGAAGCGGGCACCAGCCCCCTGATGTTGAAGACGAGTTCTTCCATGGCCAGCGCAGCCTCTTCTTCCCTCCCCGAAACCCAGGGATGCCGGACCATTTGCTCTGATGGAGTCAACCCAGAAGGAGCCAGGCAGGCACCCGTTCCCTTTCCTTGGAAGCTGAGAAGGGCAGCCAGCAGCCACTTTGGAGGGACAAAGGGCCGATTGGCTGGCCCTGCCAGCCCAGCGGGGGAGCTCGGCCACCGTGCAGGCCGCCCCCACCCCCACCGTCAAGAGCCCCCACTCTCCTTCCTGGATGTTTCTGGGGAGCTGGGGCTGCAGTTTACAGCGGCTTTCCCGGCCAGGCTTTTGGAAAGCTTAACATTTTCAAACCTATTCTTCCACCCAGTGACAGATTTATCCCAGGAAAATTATGTCTCCTTCTCCAGCTTTGAAGGGAAGTCAGCTACGTCGACGCAGAAAAAATGCAGCGAGACATACTCGATCCCCCAAACTGGCTCGAGAAGAGGAGAAAGTATTCAGGAAATGTTAAAAAAGGTGAAAGTAAGAAGAGTTTTAATCGCTCTGCCAGACGCGGGGGTCTCTCCAGAGATTCATAGAGAACAATCTTGAACCTCTTTTTTAACATTTACAGACTTGCAACTCTTTTCAAACTCCACATCTGAAAAAGGGCTCGTTCTTTTTCTGTTTTATATCATTCTTCATTTTTCTTCTGAGCTCTTAAAGTGCCTCACCTTTTTATTACATTTTAATAGAGTCTTCCCCTCTCCTTTCATGCTTGTTTAACTTGGTCATTATTTAAAGGTTTTTAAACTCACAATAATCGCGCTCTAAAAACAACACCAGCCGCCCAGAGGGCTTGCTTTTCTCCGGGTACATCAGGACTCTGGAAACTGGCCTTGTTTCCAGGCAGGAATATTGAATGTTTTAGAAATCAATCAGTCCTCAGCCTCTCCCCCCGCAGCAGCTCCCTGTACTCAGCACCCCACAGGGAGCCGCTCTGACCCACCACCTGGGTTCCTGGGTAAGTGGAGCAGAGAGGGCCCCTTCCCGAGCCTCGTTCCCATGTGTGATTGACCCTTCTGATCACCACATTTAAAGGTTCACACCAACCCCCCCCCAAGCTGGGAGAGTTGGGGGGACTTCTCTCCCTTCTCTTTCCCACTCTCCTTTTGTGGGCCCTGGCGACATATCCTCTTTCAAGAGCTTCCCTGAAACCTGGCCCCCTCCCCCTGAACCCTCTGCCTCCACCTGCAGCTGGGGAGGGGTGTATGAAAGGGGGAGGTGTAAAGGGAAATTCCTAGATTCATTCATCTGCTGGGCAGGGAAGGGGCACCTGTGGGCCAAGTACTCCCCCAGGTCCCTTCCCCAGACCTCTCTTCTCCAGCTGACCCCCAACATGCGTTTTTGGCCTTAACCCCTTGCCTTCTGAGCTGGGAGCCTGCAGGCCCCTGGCCCACGCAGTTGGGGCTGGTGGGTCGCGAAGCCGCCTGACCGAGGGGGTCCCCGCCTTACCGAAGGGGTCCCCGTCCTCCGCCATGGCGTTGATGCGCTTGTTGGCCAGGACCTGCACGTGCTTCCCGCTGGTGCGGCTGTAGAGCTGGTAGGTCCGGATGAGGCGGCGGCTGAGCTGATCCGTCACCAGGCTCTGCTCCCTCACATGCTGTGTAAAATTAGGTGAGGACTGAACAGTTACCTTTAGGAAATTGAAAAATACACAACACGCCATTATAATGCTAC